TCCATATGGACTAATGATTGTCAGTGATTTGACGTCGTATCACGACTGGTTTGTTTTTCAGCATCACCAGTTTGTGTCCTGGCTCATGTTGAAGGCATCAGTGTGTGTGTGGACTTGGCATCTTTAACCTCTGGTTTGGTATCATCATGGTTGACTGGAGACTAGTGCAGGACCAGCGGTCTTTACTTTATAGACCCAAACTAGATAATGGAGTAACAGGTGTTTTTGTTTTTTATGGGTTGATTATTTGATGCAGCTGTTATTGATTTCTAACTGAGTCCAGATTAGATTAGATTAGAACTGTATTGATCCCACGCTGGGGGAATTGTTGAATAAACAATCTGCTTAGGTCTGGTGAAACCTGGGTGTAAATTGTTCCAACATGAAACTAGGCCTTCATGTTGGGTTTGTCCAGAAATGTGTTACAAACGGATACAAGTTTTTTTATTTTGTGTGTCACAGAAACCTTGGTCTAGATGAACAGGAACGTTCTTACACTAGGTAATAATTTCTACTCAAACAAAAGACTCTGTTCAAAATGAAGCAAATTAAAAATCTAAAAAATCTTCAAACTGGATAAAAATAAATAAAACTATTCAGAAACACAGACATTTAAGTTTTCGCGTTGCTGAACAGAAAGTGAGCGGAGCTTTAACACCAATAGAACATTACATTAAAAAACACCGTCTCCTACTTTCAGGTGTGTGTTTTCACAAATGCTAGCTGCTAATTCGCTAGGTAGCATGATGTCATATTTCTTACTACGATGTCACCGTTTAAAAATTAGTCTTGACCATAATTGGGCGTCTTGTTGACCTGTGTTAAAAAAAACAAAAAACGTTTTCTTATCCTCTTGTTTTCTGACCTGATTCTTCGTGTTCTGTAAGAACGTGACCTTTTTTGCTGACGTGTTGAACGTTGGTGCGCAGGTGTGAGGTGATAAACAAAGCACTCGGGGGAGCGGGGGGGGGGAGGCCTAGTATCAGCAAATATCAACTTTTATTTAGCTCATTTATAAATACAGTTTAATATGTACAGTTTAAGTCTCCCACCTGGAAGACAAACAGAAAGGCAACAAGGCATTTTCTTCTGATCTCCAAAACCCCATCACCACCTGCATAATTTGACCTCCGTCCAAACGGATCCTGTGTCAGAAGACGTGAAGAGGCCAATGACAAACGGGTTAAAGTCTTTAAAGAATGACTCAATCAGGGCCGGGCCAAGGCCATCCAATAAAAAGTCCAAAGGTCATTGAGTGAGTGCGTCGCCCCCCCCACCCCCCCAACCACGATCATAAAGTACTCTTCAAATGCCTAAAAACCTAAACCGGAAACGTCACTTTAAACATTGTATTTCATACACAGTCGGTATCTGAATAATTTTCTTTAAGGTTGTTTTCATTATATTTTCATACTAAACAAACTGTGTTGACCATGTATTCACAATCCTGAGATCATCTAGAGAAATTGAATTATTGTTATTATCTAGAGCAGTGGTTCTCAAAATATGGGACATGTACAACTAGCGGTACTTGGGGAATTAAAAAAAAAAAATTGTACAATTATAAACTGTTGAAACACAGTAGCCATGGATCCAGAAAAAAAAAAAAACGATCAAATTTTCAGGAACGTATACCAGTCGTGGTGATACTTGATTTGACTGCTGAACTGAACAGTGTACGTCTGTACTGCAGTACTTTAGAGTTGGTCGTACTGGACGTTTGAGAACCACTGCTCTAAAGATTAAGAATAAAGAATTACGTTCCTGATGTAGTTTTACTCCCAAGTACTCCCGTGGATTTCTTTCACCCAATCTGAGCTTGTCGTACATTTGCACCATTACGAGCTGATATTAAGAAGCACAAAAGCCACTCAGTAAAGCACGAAACCCAATCAGAGCCGACGTACATCGTCCACATCGTAACAGGAAAATCAGAGTAAAGCCATAGTCAACTTTAAATATATTTTTTTTGCCTAATACCATAGAAAACTAGAGTCTTATTCAGGCCTCTACACTTTGCTGCAGCGACACGTGATGTCATCCATCTACCAGCCAATGACAGACTATACCCAACGAGCACAGAACAGTTTCTAACAACACTCTACAAACACAAACGTACTTCTGCTGCTGACCTGTGGTTTTTTATATCATCAAGTAAGAAGGATTCAAAAGCTGGACTGTTATATTAATAAAAATAAAATCTGTTTGATCTAACTCAGGGGTCTGCAACCTATGGTTCCTGGGCCACCTGCAGCTCTTTAGCCAATGGACCGAATTTTTTTCTATAGTTTTCCACAAATGTAATTTTCATTTTTTCTACTTCTTGGTAAATCTGTAGTATTACTACAGTACTTCATTTACTGCACTGCTGCCATCATTTTTTAAAAAGTTGATGTTTTGGAATTTTACTTGCCGGTAAAGATCCATGATCTAAGTCAACAGCTAAGGTAGCCCCTCCCCCTCAAAGGTGAATGAGTGGAGTTGACGTTGTAGGGATAATTTGGTCGACAAAATCAAGATCATCCTGGAGTGATCCCAAACTGAAAATAAGGGTGGTGGACCCTGTAGGAGGCCCAGACACCCTCACAGACATCGTCCTCGTGGAGCTCACAGGTTGATACGTTTGTGAGCCCGTTTGAACCACAAGCAAAACGAGTGAACTCTTAAAAGTACAAAGGCCTTTCTATCTAATCCTATGACTTTGAGACGTACTGTACAGTAAAGGGCCGGCTGTTAAACTGCATAGTAACTGACCGTAGACTACAGACTACACACTACTAGTCATGGAGAGCATAAATAGACACATTCCTTCAAATAGAAAATCAGGTATGAGCAATCAGAAGGTTAACGTCAACTTTGAGAAATGAGATTTGCGCTCGTCTATTTTGCTCAATGCTAGCAATTTGCTAAATAGTCAATAAACCTGGACACAAATCGCAGAAAGATAAAGAAATCGTATTAAAAAAAAGCCAAGAAGAACAAAAATTAAGACACAAAATGGATAAGGCAACAACCCAACACACCTGTGAACCGCCTCTGTTCAGAACCAAACGTCCTAAAGTAGACAAAATGTCACCATCTGCACTAGTTGGTGAAGACAAAATGATTTGCTTCAACAGTTTCCCAACCTCTCCTGTGTCACGGCACAGTTTTTACACAAGGAAAATCCCACGGCACTCCACCAAAAATGTCCAACAAATGTTATGTACTGAAGTAGTTTCAAATGACTCCCAATTCACTTACTCTGGGCCTATTTAATTGAACACAACCCAGGATGGGCCTATTTAGTTGAACACAACCCTGGAATTGAAGAAAGACACATGTGAAGATCCTAAACAACTTTGAGTCTCTCTCTTTGTTTTTTTCTGCCACACAGAAAGTCAAATTTGATATTTTTTCCGCGGCCAATCCCATGCTCTCTCATGGCGCACTAATGTACCGCAGCACAGTGGTTGGGAACCAATGGTTTATATGCATTTATAGGCCAGTGGCAGACTTCAGGCTGTTGTGATTTTGGCTAAACTTAAATACTAAAAATACTGGAAAAAAAAAGAAAGTTTGGTTGTAAAAACAAACAATCAACAAATGTAACAGTAATCAAACAGTTTGTTCATTAGCATTAATAAAGCGTCCTGTTGAACCAGCCCTATTTCTTATTATGACCCAAATCCAGTCGTATTATTCCACACCAGAGTAGACATGAGAAAAAAAGATAAACTCTGATAAATATTTGCTTCAACTTCAGGTCGTAAGGAACAAAAACTGTGTTCACACATTCATGTATCTGTCATTAGATCATTAGATGTGAGTAAGGAGTGCTTTTCAGATATTTATCCGACCAATTCATTTAGGCCAAAGCTACTGTAAGTCATTCCAAGAAAACAACAAAAAAAAACTACTTAAATAAAAAAAAAACGGAATATATTGCAATTTTAAACAATCATCTCCATGAGTGAATAACGTGAGTTTCAAATGACCGGGAACTCCTCTGAAAAAGCTGTAAAATGACTTAAAGCTATGGCATCAGAAAGTGTTAGTTTTTTGTTTGTTTTTTTCGTCTCTCCTATGTTTTACCAAGTGAGGCAAAAACAGGGAGGCGAGGCCCCGGCCGTGGGCAGCGGCGGTCAGCGGCCTGTGAGGTAGGGTCCAGTTAGTCTGCAGCGTTACTTGACTTTTTGAGCCCATTTCAGGTCGTCCGCTCTGGGCTTCTCTCCCGTCACACTCTGGATTACGTCCTCAATGTTCCTCCAGAATCCCAGCTTCTCCAGCGGGTAGTTCAGCCAACCTGGAGGAGGAGAACGAGCGCTAGTTAAAATGAAACACACAAACGTCAGTGTCTTTTCAAATGAAAAGTTATACTGGTGTAAAAAGCTCCGCTCACTTTCTGTTCAGCTGGTTGTGTTAAATATGGTGAAGGTTTAGAGCACTAGAAGAAGCGCTAAGTCAGTGCAGCATGGTTGTGTTAAATATGGTGAAGGTTTACTCATCTCTCTCATTTTCTGAGGTTTCTAGGGCGCTAGCAGAAGCGCTAAGTCAGTGCAGCGGCGCAGCCAATTGCTAACCTGTTGCTGACCTTAAATATCCGCAAAAAAACAAAAAAATGTATCAAATCAGCGTCGTCACATCTGATGGTTTACGGGCGTTTAATTTCTCGCCCCAAGCCGAGTCTCTCAGTGACAGTGATATCTGAAGTTCTGCACTCAGGTGTGCACCTACGCCACAAGGGGTCACTGGCGTAACAGTCAACAGCCGTGTGTGTAAAAAAACAAAGTAATTTGTTTACATGTTCAGTTTGAAAAACAACAATATAGGACAACCCTGTATGAGGATGACATAGTGGCAGGAGGAGGTACTGCAGTAGGCCAACCTGTGGTGATGCAGAAGTACGTCTCGTGTGGGGAGACGTGATGTACGCGGTGGTGTTTGCGAGGCAGGATGATGTGCAAGTCCTGCAGGAGCACAACCCAACGGGGGAGGCCGAAGTACGTGTGCGACCACTTGTGGATCTGGTTGGTGAGGGTCACAAAGATGGCAAGAGCAAACAAGTAGCAGTACCAGGGGTAGATATGGTAAATCTCAGCTGCCATGAGGAAAAAAAAAAGAAAGAAGGGTCAAAGGTCATGTAAATTGAAACTTATTTGAACAGTTTACAAAAGTTGATTTTTTTTTTAGTCCAAACACGTACCAGGGCTGAGGGTGAGGAAGTTGAAGGCCATGATCACGAGAGGAACTATGGTCAGCATGCAGTTGTCTCCGTTGGTCTCAATGAAGTCGTGTCGGGTGATGGCCGTGGGGTCGATGTGATGCTCTCTGAAGGGTCGTATGAAGGCCTGCGGGGTCAGAGCAGGTCACGGCAGGAACGAGAGGTCAGGGGTCCATCTGTCAGTGAACGGTCAGTTTCTGAAAAAGTACCTCGTGTTTACGTTACCTTTCCAAAAACTGGCATATCGACGGAACCCCATGTGTCTGCCCCCCAGTGGACGAGTCCTGACGCAAAGTCGGCCGTGAGTATTCCTGCCACTGAGCGCGC